TTTGGAAATTACTATAATTGACTTTTAACCTTAAGTCAGCCGATAAGTTAATTTATATTTACATCCATCACCTAATCATTTCGTTCCTCCAGTCACGTATACAGCATACACCTGCAGGTATCAAAATACCATGGAGTCATTGAATATCATTTAGTCCAATCTCATAAACAAGAATCAGATGTTCTTTGTTTACAGAAGCCTATATATACGTATCTCCGGGTAGGGGTCGACACAAGCGTTCCCTGCCGCTTACCGAAGGGTGACACAACGGATTCCTCTCTTCGTCAGCGCCGCCCTTCTGGATGCTGGGCTTCGTCACGACGGCCGCCGCGCTCCTGCTGGAGGCGGAGGAAGCTCAGGGAAAGGTGAGTGGATATACATATGTACATAGATACTCACCCGTCCGTCAATCTACGCAAATCTACCTCTCTCCTTCCACTGCCCCGTCTATGTCCCCAGGGCGTCGAGGAGGAGGTGGACCTCGGACCATGCGAGGAGGCCAAAGGAAGCTGTGTCCCCGAGAGAAACTGCTCAAGGATCATCTCTGGCGCTGAGTGTCCGAGGGAAACGTTTGCTGTAAGTCCTATCGGCTGGTTGTCTGTTTGTTGATAATGCAGTGGTCGTTGTTTGTGTGAGGAAAATGCTGTGAAGAAAGGGTTCATGTTGTGTCTATAAGTGTCAGTCGGTCCTCATGGTTCGGGAGTTGATACCGGCAGCGAGAATTCGGGATTTTGCAAGATTTGAGGAATTTTGGTTCCTGCAATCAGAACACATCGTTGGACATGGTACAGCGATGCGGGTAATGCAGCCAAGGAGACCACATTCTCGTTAGCACTCGTTGGCGGATCCTCCAGAACTGCAGGTTGTATAGGAGTGCCGAGTTCTGTGGTACTGACCATAGATTTGTGGCTACCCTCCGGGTTCACTTCAAAACTCCCAGTGGCCCAATGACCACCCTAGGGTGTTTCATTTGGACAGGCTGAAGGAGAGGGAGTGTGCTCGGGAGTTTGCTGTGACAATCTCTGATCGATCTTGACAAAAGTATTTGGCGATGCCAGTACCTGTGCAGAAGGGCCAAGCTACGGGTTTTCAGGGCCCTGATAATGCCAGTTTTGCTCTACGGTAGTGAAACCTGGACATTATCCAGTGCCCCGGAGTCTTGTCTTGATGCCTTCTGTAATAGGTCCTTGCGCCGGATCTTGGCTACTGTTGCAGGACCATGTCTCTAACCAACGGTTGCACCGTGAGACTGGCACAGGACTGTTACCTGCACAATCCGGGATCGCCAACTCGGGCTATATGGCCCCCTTGCTCGCTTTCCACAGGCTGATCCTGCCATCAGGTTGTCTCTGTAAGAGACAACCTTGGTGGAGGAGGCCTGTGAGACGACCGAGGATGTCGTGGTTGGGGCAGATCGATCGGCGTTAGCCTAATGATGATATATGTTTATTTATTTTATATCTTTATTTTTTTTTTTCATACAGGATATATATGTATACTTTTCTGTATGTGTAGTCTGTTTTTATATACAGTTTTTTTTTTCTACAATTTTGATTTATTTTTTTAAATTTCAGGCACAGAGGAAAGGATAACGGACACATCGAAACGAGAGGTATGGTCGATATCTTAGCTCATTTCACCATTTCCCCTACACATACACAAATTCATACACACATATACACAAACACACAAACAAGAAAACACGTAGACATTAACAACACACACGTGAAGACAAGTACAGCTAACCAAACAACACACACACAGAGGCAGCGTTACTTTTTCCTTGTTATGAATTCTTTGCTGAAGGGCGGTTACTGCAGCGGTCTGCGGCAGCCGCCACCGCGTGCTCTCCGGGCTGTCTAAATGGCAACTGCAAGTGCTGCGCTCCGCAGTGCAAGACGATGAGCTCGTGGTTCCAGAAGGGCGGCTTCTGCGTGACCAGCGCGGCCTTCTGCGTGGGCACCCTCACGCAGGAGTGCCAGGGCTCGGGGTGCATGTGCCAAGGGAGGGTATGCCGGGTGAGGGTGGAGGAGGGAAGAAAGGAAAGAGAATAAAGACGGGGGCGAGAACATGAAACTGCTAGAATAAGAAGGGATCAGAAAAGATTCATGACAAAAAATTAAAGAAAAACCGTCACTCCGCAATCAGCGGAATCTAACCTATTTCCGCATTTCAGCCGCCTGCCACAGGACGAAGCGCTGCAGGAGACGCAACGGGAGATGCGGGAAGAGCCGCTGCTCGTCACACGAAGATGAAATCCAGGGAGGCTGCTCCGGCGCCGGCTGCAGGTGCTGCGCGCCGGCGACCTGCGAGCTAACCAATGAATGCAGGAGAGCCAATGGGCGCTGCACTGGCAAAGGATGCAGGAGGCAAGAGCGTGAGCTTCCCGGTGGATGTGGTCGCAGCCATTGCAAATGTTGCATACGTGAGGAAAGTAAGTGGCTATAATCTTTTCTTTAGTTTTATCATTATTTTCATTTATTCGGAAGAGAATCGCGTC